CTGAACTGCAAGATGCTTTCTCTTTAAGGTTTCTGTGAAATTGGCAGCCTCAGAGATTTTACCTTTTCCACTATGACCTTGAAAGTTTGACACGCCCTGCTTGTGTTCCTGGGATTGCTGAAGATTCAAACCTGGTAAGCTTCCAAGCATTGGGTTTCCAATGACTATGTTTTCTGCAGGCAGTATGACTTTGAAGATGTCTGGCTTGGTGCCACATAGAGGAGCAGAACCAGTTGCCGCTGGCCAGAAATTGTTTGTCTTTGTAACCTTCTGATGCAAGCAAATGTTGTGAGCAATGTAATGGTGGGTTGCACATCTCTTTCGCCGTGGCTGAGACAGAAGGGAATTTGCAGGCTGCATTTTACACAACAGAAAATTTAATACTTAAACTATTTTGATAAATATAAACAAACAAAAAATAGAAACCTGTAGTGTGGTGGATGATCCCATGGCCAAGGGCACTGAGCTAGAATGAGCTGAAAAAATAGAGATCATCAATAAATTAAGTGTCCACCTTTAAAGCAATCAGACAGATTCATTCAGCTGGATAAACAAGACCAAATTTAGGCGTTGAATTACCAATTTTCTCCGAATTCAGAACGACATCTTTAGGCTGCTGTTTTTGACCTTGGTGTTGTAATTTACTGTCACTATCTTGATTTGGATTCTCATTAAACTTTTCCTTACTTGTCTCCATCTTCTTCTCATCTACCTTCTCAACCACAGCTTCCTCCACATATTTTTCCACCTTTTCTTCATTCTTAACCAAAATTCTCATCTTCTGCATCAAAACAACATAGAGTCACAGTATGAAAGCAGAACCAAGAGCATTGTAAAGAACTGACGGATTGAGTCTGCTTACCATTTCTACATCTTGAGGCAGAGGTTTAGGATCAGATGCAAAATCAGACAAGTCCTCCTTCTCCATGGGAGGAGGAGCCTGTTCAAAAAAGGCAGGCAAAACTCTTCAGCAAATTAGAAAAAAATCTACCAATGTAAATATAAGCAGAAGACCAGAACAAACAAGAAGCCTCACCATCAAATCAAATTTGAACATGTCCTCTCTCTTGCTCTCAAGCTTCGACCCAGTTGAAATGCTGACCAATTTCACCCATCAAAACAAACAGAATTAATCAGATTTCTTTTTTTTTTTTTTTTGGGCTGCATCATTAATTGGATATTTCTCAGTGACACAATCAATCAAAATAAAAAAGAGACAAAGAAAAGATTCTTTGATGCTCACGCTTTTGTCCCTGTCAAATCTTCCCAAGACAATTCCACTTTTGGGAGGATGCTTTTTCCCTCTTCCATGAATGGTTTGGCATCTTCCTTCTGCGACTCTATGGTGGACCCAGATGCTCCTTCATCACAACCCGTATGGTGAACCGGGTTGCACAGTTCCCCGTTTGATTTCGGCGAACAAGTTTCAATCTTTTCCGGTTGGTCACTTTTTTCAAAGACACCAGCTTCAGAAACTGAACTGTCCTGAACCGCCATTAAAGCATTCTCAGCCTCCACTTTCTTGTCCTTGAGCTCTGCAACTGCGAACCAGAGAAAATGAAAAAATCATTTGAATCATCGCTGAAACGAGAAAGTGAAGACAGGGATGTAACCCAAGTCTTGAAATCTTGGCTAATACCATTTCTATCTTTAGCTTCAAGATTCAAAGTAGAGTTTTTGATATTATCCTGGTCCTTGGAGCTCTTGGATTGCTTCATCAGCCCGAGAACCTCAGCGATCTCAATCTCTATATCCTCTTCGACAGGCTCAGAAGATTTAGACGACTTCGGAGGCCGAATCTTGGGTCCATTTGGCTTCTGCATAATATCAATTTACAAGCTCAAAATCTCAACTTTTCCCTTAACTTCATCAAAACTATAACTTTTATGAAAAATAATAAAACATAGAACTAACCATCTTCTTCCTCGCTGAAACATTAGAAAAAGATAGCGAGGCGGCTTTTACGCTCAGTTGCTGAAGACTCTCTTCTTCCCCAGCTCCTCCATAATTTCCAGAAGAAGCATATTCATGTAACCTTTTTCCAGAAGCTGCAAAAAGACATCAAATTTACAAACAAACTAAAAAACAGAGCAAGGCCCAAAAGAACAGCACCAAACAGAGAAGAACAGAGAGGAAGCTAATCAGCTACATTTGGGTATTGGTGTACCTGAGCGAGCCTTCCTGGGCACTGCAACTCCGATCATTTCATGGGAAACCATCAACTGCGGAGCTTGTTCATCGGAATAGCCCACGCTCCCTTCTTCAGTGCTCTCGTGACCTTGATCTCCTCTGACCCTCCTCTGTTTTGTGCTCTGCTCTCTCATACTTCTCTTGTTGTTGGGTCGCTCGCGTAACTTGAGAAATCCATTGCTTGCTGCCATGCTTGGCCTTCTTGCTTCTCTACTTCTCTCCATGATGATACGTTCTCTCCCCCTTCTCCTTTCTCATCAAATCATCAAACTCAAAAAGATGGGAGACAGAGACTCACTTTTCTCTCTGTTTTGCTTGGCTGTATTTGTAAATGGATACAGAGATACAAAAATGCCCCATGCATTGAGAATTGTATATATCATTTGTATTTGATATTTCTCCAATGCTACCAGAGAGATAACCTGGATTCGATATCAATGGCCACTCTTTTGCAATTATTAAGTCGTTGTTATTATTTTATTTTTCTGTATTCTTTTAATTTTTTTTATTATTTAAGACAAGAATAGGAGGAGGAGGTGATGGATGGACGAATTATTTTATTGAGGAAAGATGCAGATCAAAGCAAACATTAGTTTAAAAGATAAAATAAAGAAAAAATATATAATAAAGTACAATCAGTATCATCATCTGTATACATTCTATAATGGCTGCACACGTTAGTTCTTTCTTTAATTTAAATTAAGCTAAGCTAGTCTTCTTTTAGTTAATTAAATAATTAATGAAGAGTACTAAAATTAAAAGCATGCCTCTTTGGCTTTTCAATCCTTTGTATTTTGATTTGAGTATGCAAGCAACTCTAGGAAACTAAGCAAAAGGAATCCATCCACTTGCCCAACACCAGAAAAAGTCATATTTTATTCCCTTTGATTTTCTTTAATGAAAAAGAATGAAACAAACAGCCTTTGTTTATTCAATAAGATATAGTATTTCTAGGGATATCAACTACTATAAAACAGTTTTTTAGTTGTTTTCATAATGTTTTTTTTTTCAACTTAATGCTAAAGTAGGTTGAATAAGCGCGTGGACTGATATGACTGCTAATGCATATAAATCTCACAATACATCAATAGTTGCAATCAGTTCAGTCACGCGTACGCGACTGACTATAGGTTAGAAATTGTCATTTCATTAGTAACTCTAGTAGTGTTGTTGTTTCATAATTGGTTCATAAGATTAAAAGGTTAAACCTACCTAAAAGTGATTTGTTGAATAGGGAGATGGCTTTCTTTAAAATCTAATTGAGATTATTGTACTTTTTGGTTTTTGAGACTATTGTAATTTGACTTCAGCTTACCCTAAATTGTTTTTAAGCATAAACTAATAATATGCTTGTACAACTAAACCAATATTAAAACTGATTTAGTGGGGAAAGAACATTGTATTTAGTAGGTCAAGACAAGCTGATCCTTCCGAGTGGCACTTTATTAATTAAATGCAATAAAAATATATAACAATTAATTAAATAATCAGATCCAAAGTGCGAGTGGTTTGGATCGACAAAAATCATTTTTATTTATTTATTGTGTGATGGAATTGTTATTTGTTTTGATAAAATAAAAAATTGTTATTTGCTAAGGTGGCAGGCATTTTGATGTTCCATATACTACAAAGGACTTTCGGGAAGGTAATGAGTTAATAATAAGCACCTCACAGCTTCCAATCAAAAATTAATAAATAAATAAGCATCTCATCTCACAGCTAGTCGTGGAGGTCACCATGGTCAAAGAAAATAATATTTTAGAATTTAATAACAAAAAAAATGGAGTATTTAATTGAGTGAAGAATTCATGGTTGGGTTGGGGGTTAGAACTTAGAGGAGGAGGAGACTGAATATAATTATTTAATTTATTTATTTGAGATGAGATCGAGAACTCCGGACAAATATTCAAAGTTCAAACTCAAATGTTAGGTTTCTGACTTTTGGTTTCTTTACAAAATTTTATACAAATGTTGGGTTTCATCTTTCAAAACAAGCATGCAATTTGCAACCCTTTTTAATTCTTAATTCCATGCAGGGCCAACCTTTATCAATTGAAAAATCTCGTCCAGGAATAATCAAATGCTCCTCCAGGATATGTATATATATATATTATAGGTAGAAAAACAAAAACTTCACCTGGGTGTTCTTTTTTAATGATTATATGAACTGTTGCAAGACATCATGGGTGCTTGAAAATGTTCCCAACATGATTTTCCTCTTCATGTTTTCCTGGTTGTGAAAACAGAGCATACAGAAAATGATTGTGTTGTTTTTTACCTCTGGGTAAATCGGTTGATTAATTATATGAGTACCAAAATTATTGAAAGCAAAGAAAGGCATGGTATCTTCTCTTGCATGGGTAAAATCAGCTTCTTCATAAATTGAACTCAAAAGTGCCAAGGAAAAAGGTGCTGTACAATTATTCCTCATTAAATTTTCATCCTTTGTTGGTTTGGTTGGAAGTTTCTAAGAAATTGCATGTAGAAATCGAATTTAGAAAAGCACAATGAGATGGGACCTAATGCGTTTTTTTGTTTGTTTGTTTTTCCTTCTCTATACATGTTGGAGGGTAGGGTTAGTGGGTTTCTAGGGTAGTGTGTTTTCAAATCGAAAGATGGGACAAATGACATGTTATGACTTAGATAAGGAAAAGTACTTCTCCACCTCGTTGCATTCATCATTCTTTCTATCTTTTTCCTCTGATAAGTGACATGAAGAGAGAGATAGAAAGGCGACAATGCAACGGGGTATGAAAGTTTTTTTCATAGATTAGAGCCCAGTTCAAAGAACATAAAATAGTGGAAGTGAATATAGAAATTTTGACTTTTAACATCTTTAATATAATGATCATCATTCCCACCCACAGAGATGTTGAGATATTAATGCGGTGCACGCTTCTAATTGAAAAGCCTTGCATAACATGGCATATTTTTCACGTAACCTTAAAAACAAAATGTCTGGTTATCTCAAAAGGTGCTTTGTAAGGGTGGGGTATAAACAGCACTGCAAGTTATCCGCACAAAAAACAGAAGGTTTGGAGATTAAAGCTCAACCATTTACATCAGTGCATGAACAATCACTAAACCTTCAGCAATTCCTGAAACACGATTGCAAATTAAGTTAAACTTCAATAACGACTTAGGTTAACATGAGAATCAAATGGAGAAACTACCTTTTCTTTTTGTTTGAAGACGGTATCAAGCTTCTTCACATACTCATCTGTTAATTTCTGCATAAAGAAAAAAGGTGAGCGTCGCATTTTACAGGACCTGAACTGTTTTAAATTCAACTCGAGTTAAAATGGTGCTTGAAATGATAAGTTTAGAAAATGTATCTTCTACTGTAACCTTTGAAATCAAAACCCAACCAATAATGAAACAAGAAATTGGTGCGTGATATGTCCACAAAAGATGGATAAGAAACAAATCCGTCAGTTGGCTTCTTTACGCAAACCACAATACCTAGTTTAGTTGGCTTAATGATACCGTGGTGCATTGAATGTGGTCCAGCAGCATTCTAGATAATCAACTAAACAAAAGATTTAAATTACCTGCAAATCACTTGATAAGTCCTTGACATTATCTTCAGAGAGCTTTTTGTCCTTTTAGAAAAACCAAAAAGTTTGTCAATAAGGAATCTAAAAGTAAAATGGTGCTGGAAAAATACAAGAAACAAAGGGGGGCCCCAAAGGCAATGCCAGCAAGTGAGAAAGAAAGAGAGGTTGCGGGAGTGGGTTTTAAGATTCAAACCTTCTCAAGTTTGTCAAGAGCTTTTAAAGCATCTCTTCTGATGTTCCTCAATGCCACCTATAACGATTGAGTAATAGGTCTTTCAGAAGAACAAGATCAATCACTTTAAAATATAAATGTTAATACAGGAAGTTTTAAAATGCATTAATTGCTCCATGCTTTTACTTCAATATGGTGCCATGATTAGAGCTCACCATGAACAACTGAAAGACGGGAAAGGGAGCTGGGTTGGGGGTCAATTATTTAGTATACCAATTTGTGGGATTTAGTTAAGCACGTGTACAACACAACCAAAACCATGAAACTCTGAAAATATTAAATACTTATAATTCACAAACTAAAGAAGGAGAGTTTTCTCCAACTATCAGCCAAAGATACTACTGTACCTTTCCTTCTTCGGTCTGTTTTGCCACTACTTTTGACAATTCCTGCATGGAAAAAAAAGAAGCACATATCAAAGAACGTGATTGATTATTGTGCATCATCAGAAAACAGAATGTTTCTGTTTTTTTTTTTTCGTATAATGATTTTGTCACCACTGCCAGTACAACGAAGCATGGCTTCTACCAGGTTGAGACTTCTAGTATTTGGCTTGTACCAAGATTACAGCTAATTCTCAATGTATGAGAAAATTAAAGGAATATGCTTTTCATAAAACAATTACAAAAGCAAGCTATCAAGCCAAATACTAGAAGTCTCAACCTTTAAAAACTGATATAGTAAAGCAGAACTTGCATAGTCAATTAAAAAATATAAGGGTCAAATCATGGAGATATACCCAAGCTCCTAATAATCTCGTCAATATAAGGAATATGCTTTTCATAAAACAATTACAAAAGCAAGCTATCAAGCCAAATACTAGAAGTCTCAACCTTTAAAAACTGATATAGTAAAGCAGAACTTGCATAGTCAATTAAAAAATATAAGGGTCAAATCATGGAGATATACCCAAGCTCCTAATAATCTCGTCAATATAAGGAATATGCTTTTCATAAAACAATTACAAAAGCAAGCTATCAAGCCAAATACTAGAAGTCTCAACCTTTAAAAACTGATATAGTAAAGCAGAACTTGCATAGTCAATTAAAAAATATAAGGGTCAAATCATGGAGATATAACCAAAGCTCCTAATAATCTCGTCATCTTCAACTAGGACATTGTGCGTGCGTGTGTGTGCGTGTGTGTGCGTGCATGTGTGTGTGAGAGAGAGAGAGAGAGAGAGAGGTATGATCTCTAGAGTGCAAACCATACAATTTACTACATGTCAGTATATGTAGATTGGCCAAAGCAACAGGAAGCGCTGAAAATCCCTTAGCTCATTTATATAATAAATCAAAGATTAAAGATGAGAAATACCTTCCTTCTTTCTGCTGTAAGTTGAGGTAGGGTCAACCGAATCACTTCTCCATCATTATTTGGAGTTAAACCAAGATCAGAGCTAACTATGGCCTTCTCTATAGCCTTTAAGCTGAAAAAGAGGATATACCAATTAAAAGAAAGGCAAAAAATAAAGTTAACTAATCAAATGATCAATTGATCCCAAATGCATTCTTCCAATAGAAATAACTAGCTCTTAACAGCTCAAAAACATCCATGTTTCTTTTTGGTATCAGAGAGAAGGCAGTAAAGAATCACTGGAAAAATCACCAGATTATATAATTTTGCCATGTACTTCGTCTACTTATTGTGCATTGTTACAGAGAAAATCTTAAAAGAGCTCCTATCAGAGAAAGCGGGTAGCCCACTAGCTAGTTTTCAGCTGGGTTTTATGTCAGTCAATAATTTGTCTCCCCTCCTCTGATTTTGGAAAAAATTTAGTAGTGACCATTCCAAAGCAGACAAGTGTCTATTGCATGACTGGGAATGCAGCAAAGCGCACTGTTCTTCAATGAATCTTACTAGTATCATGTCTTTAGTTTATGAAATACCTGGATTTATCATATGGCTGAACCAAGAAGGAACTTGCATCAGGAGAACTAATTTGAGCAATGGTCTTCAAGCCAACCGGGCTTCCATAGTATTCAACCTAGAAAAGTATTGTATTATAACTATTCTTAGAGCAAAAATAACAGTACCAAGTCTTCAATCTATACAAAAATGAATTACAAAAGTAGCTAGACAAACCCTAAATTAAGTCATACCTCAATCTTGTCCAGCATGGCTGGGCTTGCCCTCCCTGTCCTAATAGAATTGAAATTGGACCGTACCAGTTCGATAGTCTTTTCCATCCTTCCTTTCTGAAATATAACTAACATTCTCAATACAAGTTGTTTCTTCCTGACCTAAAATCCCCCCAACCCAATCACACACTACGTATTTTAATAAAAGAAGCCATAGACAAACTTACAGCATCTTCTTTTATCAAAGACTTCTCTGCTTCTATTTCTTCAATAGTAGCAGCCCTTACAGTTCCAGCTCTGGATATTTCAACCGAAAGGAAATAAGAAAGAGAAGAAAAAAAATTTGATTGGAAGGCAAATATATACCTACTACACAACCACTAACTCAAAGCAATTACATTAACTATAGTGGTAGCACTACACAGCCCAAATCTCCATTGCATTCACAAATTGCAAGGATAACATCAATGACTATGGAGAGTCAGAGAATAGATTCATTTTGAGTATATTGTTGTTAAATGTTAAGCCAACAATTGCATTCATATCCCAACTTTTAATCCCATGCTGACAACAGAAACCAGAGTATAATTCTGTGGCACAAATAAAACTTGCCTCTTTTGCAACAATTGCTTCTTGACAACAATGGGATTACCAGAAAACTTCATGGAGCCATCCTGAGATCCTACATAACTAACAGCTGAGCTCCATGAGCATACATTAACCGTTATGGGCTGGCATTTCTTACAAACCGGTCCTCCGCCAAAGGAGTCTGCAAAAATGTCAACTTTTAGAGCATTTAGCATGCGTAAAAAAAATGCCCATCAAACATAAACCAAGTTACAAACTCAGCCCACTAACACTAAGCTATGCAGTTTTCCTACTGAACTCCAAAAAGGCCCTTTGAAATTGAATCATTGGCTTTTATATTTGGAAAGCAAGTCATAAAGCTCATCAATTACCACTAATTAGAATGCAATGAATCCATAAAATGGTTGATGGGTTATGTACCTCGAACGGAGAGGAGGGTTTTGGGAGGGTTTTGCGTGTGTTGGAGGAAGAAGCGTACAGGGGTTGCAGGAGAGAAGTGGGTCGCCATGAAAGCCGAAGACTGGTATTCTGAGCGAAGCTTTTGGGGCTGTGATATTTTTATGTAAGAAATATAATAACCCACTAAAGTAGTGACTGTGGTAGAGGGCAGAGTAGGCAGGCAATGGGTCTTCAGCCTGTCAACGGGATGACAATGAAAACTGAGGAGGGAGAGTGTTCGCTATTTTCAGGGGCTGTGGATAAGCATTTTCCTTTGCTTATTTTCATTTTGGGATTTGTTTGTTTTCTTGGATTAGAATGTCATAATCCAAACACTGGATAGAGATATCCTCCACTGGTTCCAGAGTAAACCATAACTACAGGTGCACATCGAGGCCCACAATAATATGACTGGTTAAAGAAGGCGGACTTTTGGACATTGGAGGGTTTGAAGATGGGCTGGAGTTCTATGTCAAGGTAGCTTGGGCTGGGCTGGTGTAGGCTTTATATTTCTGTCAGAAATTTCTAAATGAACTCCTTTTCGGCCCATTTATATTTTCCTTATTACGTTGAGATTCGAACTTGGTACTTTTGGTTTTTTGAGAGCATATCCTTCTATAAAATAGAAGCATTTTAAAAGAGTACAAAAGATAACTAAACCATCCGAAACAAGAGCGTAATCTTTAATAAAGATTTGCGGCCATCAAACATAGGAAAACAAAAGAAAAAAAGGAAGGACTTAAAAGTGAAACATTTAAAATAGTAGAAATTGTTCATGATTAAATAAGGTGATAAAATACAACAAATTACACATAATCAGGGTAAAATGATAAAACAATTATATAAAAAGATTTTTTTAAAATTAAAATACAAAACCCACCTTCAGAATGTGGCAGTTACCCCACTCCTCTCCTCCACCTCTCCTCGCTCCACCCCTTTTCCTTTTCTTTTTTTTTCATTTGTTTTAATAATTAATGCTAATAAATAATACGCTTAACAATTAAACATATATATTAAACTTCTTTTAAACTTGGCAAATAGTAAATGATACGAACATAGAAAGAATCACAAAGGCCGCTTATGTCAAGCCACATTTATTGCCTTTTTTTAATACAAATTCTTCTTAAATTCAAGATACTGTGGATTTGGTGAAGAAGAAGAATGCTAAAAAAATCACAGAATGAAGATACTCTGGATTTAATGGACGCGCCAGTTCAACCCATCAAAAGATTGCCTTCGTAATTAAAAAAAAAATTAAATACCATTTTTGGATTTAATTTCCTGAATTTGCACCTCGCTCTAGCACTATATATATACACGTTCACTTGCAACGTTTGCTTCACGAGTGCCTTCCAGTTCAACAACCATACATATCTACTACTTTATTCATCTCTCTTCTAAAAAAAGCTCTGTGACTTTCTTAGGTTGGTGGTCAGCCATGGCTTTTGCTAAGAATTCAATGCTTTTTTTCATGGTTATGGCTTTGTTTGGGGTCTGTTTTGGGACTGTGTACAAGGTGGGTGACTCTAACGGGTGGACAGACAAAGGCAGTGTTAGTTACAAGGGTTGGGCATCTACTAAGACCTTTGTTGTTGGAGACACTATCGGTAAGTGTTTTCCACCCTTTTTTTTTTTAATGTTATACGGGTTTTAGCATGCTTTACAATTGACAACTTCTAATAAAAACTAGGGTACCCTCTTATATATTGTGTGGATTCCTTCTTCGTTTTAGGGAAAAGTTATTGTGAATTCAAATTGTATGGACAACGTTTGATGAATTTAACCGTGTGAAATAGACCTGAGAAACACTTTTTATATCTAGATAGATACATCTAAGATTTGTGGACAATGATGTGAAGCCAAGTATTATTACCACTTATGGTACCTTGCATGTTCCTAATGTGAAGTTTGGTACTGTGATGATATTTCTGCATACTAGCTAGTTGCTTTAACCCAAATCAATATCACCCAAACTACCATTTGTGTTCCTTTCTTTTTTTAACATTTAAGATTGCATATTGCAGTTTTTGAGTACAATGCCAAGGAGCAAAATGTGGTGCAAGTGAAAACCCTCACAGAATTCAACGGCTGCAACTCAAAAGCTCCATTATCAGCCTATAACTCTGGCAACGACGCTGTAGAGTTGAAGAAGGCTGGCCATTTCTTTTACATCTGTGGTCTTCCTGGGCACTGCGAGGCTGGCCAGAAGGTTGACATTAGGGTTCTTGAACCTAGCCAGGCATCTAGCCCAAGCCACTCGAGCCCTGGCCCTAGCCCTGCACCCAGTTCAAACCATTCTCACCACAATGAATCGTCCGCCCCGGTTCCATCTCCAAGTGCAAAGGCTCCTACCTCACCTAACAAGAGCAGTGCTCCATCTGTCAAGTCTTCTAGGGGCTTGTTTATGCTTGTTGTGATGGGGGTTCTTGCTTACATTGCTTAATTAATTGGTGCTTAATTAGGAAAATTGCTTATTTTATTAGTTTGTTTTTGTGTTAATGTAAGGAACCTCCTGGTTTTCTTTGCTGTACAATCTTTTATAAGTGCAGCCTTTGAAATGAATAGCAAAAATTACTCATAAAACCAGAAATTTTGTGCCTTCAATTTCCATGATAATCACTTGATAAAAGTCATTCCCATTGTCTTCAAAGAGCTCTTCTTCTTTTTCCCTTTGAAAAAAAACAAACAAACAAAGGTGGACCAAAAAGACATCCCAAAGAGAGTTGAGAAACTCAACCTCGCCAATGTGATTGTTACCAAGCACGATTTTGTGTAATGCTAAATATTTTTAAGAATTCAGTATAATTTGAACAAAGAATGCAGAAAATAGCAAATCAATTTAGGATATCTTCAAGGTATAAAACAAAGTTGCCTATACAAAAAAAACACCATTGCATAATTTAATCATCTCAACAGCATCCATATTTGTTCTGGCTAATATAGTTTTTTCACGTTCACTTACCAAGAATAGGGAGAGAATGAACTGGATTAATTTGGATCAACTAATCCCCTAGTTAATCTAATTCATGTGGATTTTCAAGTATTTGATTACAAATCGTGATATGAAAGCCACATAATTTTTTATTTGGTTCGTGTTAGTAAACGCATGGAAAACTAGGAAACGGAATAATTTATTTATTTAATTTTTTTTTTGTGAACTGGGGCGGGGAACACCAGACAACACAACTACATAAAATCAACAAAAACAAGACGGGGACGAGACACCCCAATCAAGTCATCAATAACTAATGAACCTATCCAACTTGGAGCAAAATCAAAATAACACACGCCAAGACCCACGTTATAGCTCTAGTTAGCTAATCCATCTGCAACACAATTCTTTTCTCTGTATTCTTTTCCAATTAGCTAATCCATCTAAAATAGAATAATTTGAATACCCACATGTCAGTAAATGCAAAGAAAATTATTAATAAGAATAATTTTAATAGCCATTCCAAATCAAAATTTGCACAAAGGGAATAAATTTTAGAGAAAAAAATTACTCAATTAATAACTCCGCGTAAAGGAAAAAACATTTTTTTTTAAAAGAGTATAAACATTTTTGGCATACCATCAAGGCAAGTTTACTGTTCACTGAATACGGTTCTTTTTAGCCAATTTGGAAAAATAACCCTAGTAATTTTTTATTTTTTTATGAGAATAACCCAAGTAATTTTAATTGCAGCCTAGACTCACCTAAATTGGGCAAAACGAGTGAACTTTTATTGCACTGTGAGCTGTGAATATGATTAATATCCTCAAAATTAACCAAGATGGTCTTAATTAATTTCCTAAATCTGGGAAAAATATCGCCAATGAAATGAATTGATCCTGACGTGCCAATCAACAAAATCAATTAACCAAAGAATGTTCCTCTAATTACCAATTAACTATTAACATCTTCGAGGAAATAACGTTTTATAATTTAATTTCCTCAATTTGCACCTTGGCATATCACTATATAAATATACGCACCATCTTTTGGTTTTTCCTCATCACAATTGCCTTCAACAAACTAATACAAATATATCTCTGTCTCTCTGAGCTTGGTGGTTTACCCATGGCGGCTTTGGCTAAGAGTTCAATGGTCTTTTTCATGGCAATGGCTTTGGTTGGGGTCTGTTTTGGTGCTGTTTACAAGGTCGGTGACTCTCATGGCTGGACTGACCAAGGCCACTTTAATTACAAGACTTGGTCATCTAACAAGCACTTCACTGTTGGAGACACTCTCGGTAAGTTTACGGACATATCATTTGGTGAATAAATTTTACGAAATAAATTGATGTCTCTTAAGTATTATTGTTTTTCTTTTTTCTTTTTAACATGCATTGCAAATTGCATGTGCAGTTTTTGAGTACGATGCCAAGAAGGAGAATTTGGTACAAGTGGACCATAAGGGTTACAAAGAATGCGAGGCAAAAGATTCATTATTTTCCTTTGCCTCTGGCAACGACAATGTAAAGATAACCATGCCTGGCGACTTCTTCTACATTTCTAGTATCCATGACCACTGCAACGCCGGGCAAAAGCTTCACATCCAAGTTCATGCATCAAGTTCGACCCCGTCCCCGTCTCAGACTCCATCTTTCTCGACCCCATCTCCGAGCCCGGTCCACTTGAGCCCGTCTCCTACCCCGGTAACGTCAATCCCAAGTGCTTCACCAAGCCTCAGCCCAAATGGTTATGCAATGCCCAGCCCAAGTGGTTTACCCAACTACAACCCAAATAGATCTCCAAGTACTATTACTAGGTCACCTCCAAATCCAAGCCCAAAGGTGAGACCCAATCCCCCAACGGTGAGGCCCAATCCACCAAAGGTGAGGCCCAATCCTCCCCCCTCCTTACCAATAGTGGTGTCCAATCCTCCTCCTTCCGTGCCAATAGTGGTGTCCAATCCTCCTCCTTCCCCAGGGGGCACCCCACCCAGACGTCGTAAAGCTGTGATTACAAAGAGCCAGGCTCCACCTTCCAATGGGTTACCTATTTTGCAGGTTTTAATGGCTGTGGCGGTCGTTGTCTACATTGCTTAAAAATTGAAGTCTATGAAGATGCTTTATTTCCATAGGGAGCCGAATTTAATTTTATTAAGATAATTAGTTGTTTTTGGGTTTTTTTGTTAATATCAGGAACCATATGATTTCTTGGGTGTTTAGTAATAAATCATTTGTGTAATGTTTCACATATTAATAAATATTTCTGCACTTAATCCTAATAATAGTATGTTTAAGTTTGTTTATCCTTTGATTTTATATATTTTTATTTATTTATTGGGTTTTTTACATTTGACACGTAATGTAAAGGAGCCCAGAAAAGTGGTCCTTTCCGAAAGCTTATTTCTCTT